CGACGACGACGACGACGACGACGACGACGACGACGACGACGACGACGACGACGACGACGACGACGACGACGACGACGACGACGACGACGACGACGACGGCGGCGGCGGCGGCGGCGGCGGCGGCGGCGACGGCGGCGGTGTCGGCGGCGGCGGCGGCGGCGGCGGCGGCGGCGCCGACGCCGACGCCGACGCCGACGCCGACGCCAGCGTCGGCGCCCTACCAGGCGCAGCTCGACGAGGCGCTAAAGGCAGTGCGCGCGGAGCTGCGCGCGGAGGTCGACCAGCTGCGGGCCGCCCTGCGGGGCGGCGCCGACGCCAGGGAGTGGCGGCTCGCGATCGCGGCGGCCACACGGCCGCTACGAAATCAGGTTTTGGGCTTCGTGCTTTTCAGAGTTTTTCGGGGGTTCTCGGGAGCTCTCGTTGTTTCCTGGAGGTTGTTTCGCCCCGGGACGCTTCTCAGCAGCTGCGCCTCGCCGAGGGTGTTTGGGGGGATGCCCAGATCGTCCCGAACGGCCGCTGGAGGCCCGAGTTTCGAGCCGAACACCACGATTTCCTCGACAAGCTGATTTTTGTCAGGGCCCTCGGTTTTCCTTGATCTCGGCCGCTGTGGCCCGTTCTCGAGCCCAGGGGCCATCAAAAACAGATCCGGAAGGCGAAACTACCACTTCTGGGGAAGGGGTTGGGAGCTCTGGGGCAGCGGATTCCGACTACACGTAAGAGTGACCCTTCGCCGGAGTGACCTCTGGTGCGGGCCCCATGGGGGCCGCCCGATCGCCGAATGCGATGCGATAGCAGCGGCCTGCGCGCGTGGGTTTGGCCCCCTCGCGCCCTATCCCTGAAGCCGCGCACCAAAGGTCACTCCTACCCAGGGTCTTTGCTGCTCTGGAGCGCACGTTTTGAAACGCAACACGTGCCGTGTTCAAAACGTCCGTGTTCAAAGCGTACGCGTTCAGTCCACGTGTTCAAACCGTACGCGTTCAGTCCACGTGTTGGGCACGTGTTGCGTGTTGCGTATCGGGGCAGCTTAGTGCAAGGTCAGTCGCACGTGCAGCCCAGGATTGACAAACATCATATCGGAGGATGTCTGTGAAGCAGACGGGGCGTTGCATATGTTTTGTCGCACGGGGCGTTTTCGCCTGGTGTCGGGCCCCAGGGCGACCATACAGAGCTATCTGGGCTGAAACAGCGCAGGGGGATTGGGTCCAGGGCTCTGGTGAGTATTTTTCGCGATGTTGCGATCTTTCGCAGCGTCGGATCGCAGGAACGAGGCAGGCGGGCAGTGAAGCGGGCCTTGGGCCCAGAGGTCCGTGCGCCGCGAGTAACAGAAATCAGCGCGGATGGTTTTTGTTCGGCCGTGTTCGGCCTCCAGGGACCTGTTGGGACCGTAAAGGAACGGCCCAGGACGAACACCACTAGTCCCTGGGCAGACATCAGGGGGAACCGCGTAACGCGACCAAGAATCAGCCTCGGATGTCTGGGGGGTCCTGCACGTCTACTGCCAGGACGCCTCAGCAACGGCCGGCCGCACCGGCCCCTCCTGCCGAAGACCTTCGCGATGTGAGCGCCCGCCCCCCTTCCTCCTGCTCCGCGGCAGGCCTCTGCCTTGCTTCTTGCTCTTGCAGCTCTGCCCCAGCTGCCCAGAGCGCGCGAGCGGGTTGCCTCTGCCGCGCCGCGACGGACAACGTCTGGGGGTCCGGATGTTTCTCGCAGTTTGCAGGCTCCAGGGGCCTTCCACGGGTCCGGGGGCCGCCAGAATCCTAGGAGGGAGATGCGACACCAACAGCACCAGGGGGCCCACCTCCATCGAGGAGGCCCACGATGCCTCCCCGAGCTGGAGGCTGGGGATGTCTCGAGCGAGAGGGGGGGGACCACACCACCAGGGATGCCCCCCCTTGCTCCTCGCATATCCTCGCCCTGTTGGTGTTTGTGTCGCCTTTCCTTGTTCCGGCGAGAAGCTGGTCCTGGGGAGCCGCCCTGGAGTCCCTAGGCATCGGGCGTCGTGACTCTTGCGCAATGTGGATCCCCAGAGGTCTGGGCCCCTTCCCCTGGACAGCCCTTTCGTCCCAGGATGGCTTTTGACGGTCCCGGGGCCCCGCCTGGGCCCCCCGAAGGCCGAAAGTGGCCGAAGATGTCGCGCCGTGGTTCGACTTTCCCACGGCGCGAGGTGTAGGCCGGGCCCATGGGCCCTTTTCCCTCGGGACCCGTCTGCCGGCAACACCCAGACATACTCGTATGATGTGTGCGTCGATTCCCAAGGGGCGACGCTCGCGCTCAGAGGCTTAATGATTCGGTAGCGGGCGTCTTCTATCAGGTGTTTGTGGTACGTGTTCGGTTTGGACGTGTGCCTCCAAGTGGTGCGCATATTGTCAGCGTGCTAGTAATATGTCCTTTGGCGTTCCGGTGTGGTTCGTGCCAAGCAGGGCGGCGACTTCTCCGAGCTCCTCGCCGCGAAGGGCGCCGCCGCGGGCGAGGAGGACTGCGAGCGCGCCGCCCACACTGGCGCCGTGGAGACGGTGGCCCGTCTGCGAGCGAGAGCGGTCCTCCGACGGAGTGACCTCTGGTCCCAGACCGCCTCGCGTCGTGAAGCCAGCAGCCACGACGAACAGCCTCTTGCTGCTTTCGGCCTTTGGGGGCCCTCACCGGGCCAGGGGTCCGTGAACAAGACAACTCAGGACGACAAGCTGGTCCTGGGGAGTGGGTCGAGACCTCTGGGGGTCGACGTTGTGAACGAATCATGACGTCGGGGGTCTGGGATGCGCGCGCTCTCGGGGGGGGCGCGGTCTTCGGCTCTCGAGGGGGCTCTCCTTGTGGGAGACGCTGAATCGAGAGGAAGCGTGTTGCCAAATAACTTCCAGATGTCTAGACATGTTCCAAACATCTGCTTGAACATGTTCAGAGCATATTTCATACATTTGGAACACACTTCGAATTCAACGATCGGATTGTTAGGGTGCCCATCATCATGGCATCCAGAAGGCTCTCCTCTGACCCCTGGGCGCGCGCAGCCGCGCCTCGCCGGGAGCGTTCCGGGGGTGCCCGAGTCGTCAAAGACGGCCGCCAGAGGCCCGAGCTGCGACCGAGAAGCTGAGCGGCACTTCCTCGGCACCGGACGGCACCGGCACCGGACGGCACCTGGACGGAGGCCTTGTAGAAGCAGACCCAGGCGCAGCCGTCGGTGTTCTTCTGCCGGACGGCACCGGCACCGGCACGTGCGGCACTTCCTCGGCACCGGACGGCACCTGGACGAGCGACGCCAAAAAAAGGGGGCCGTCGGCGCCGACATCCGCGCGGAAGTTGCCCGCGTAAGGTCGCGCGTCAGCGCCCCCGCCTCCAGCGTAGCGTGCCGCGCCGGCGGCCCGCGTACGCCGCCACGTGGGGTCGCTATGCCGTCTCGCGTGAGACCCGTTTTTGAACGTCGCTCATATGCCCCAGGTGAGCGCTCCAGCGGCTGCGCCTCGCCGATGCGTTCCGACGGTGTCCGAGTCGTCTCGAACGGCCGCCAGGGGATCCAGTCGTGACCCAGGAGCCGAGCGGAATGCCCCCCAGGCGCTGGCTGGCGCGCGGGGAGTCCGGCCTTCCCCGCAGTCCCCCCCTGAAGCCGCGAGCCAGAGGTCGCTCTCGACCAGGGGTCGCTCCTGCTCGAAGAAGCAGTAGAAGAAGAAGAAGAAGAAGGAAGAAGAAGAAGAAGAAGGAAGACAGCGGCTTAAGCATAAGCTTTCGAAGGTCCGCGCGCGGTTCTCTTCGGTCCGCTCGAGGCCTCCCTGGCGGCGCCTCCCGCGCCTCCCCGCGGAGCACGGCGCCAGGGCGGCCGAGGGGGCTCCGGCGCCGATGCCCTCCGACAGCTTCCGCTCCTGCTCCTGCCTCTTCCCCCTGCCCGCGCGCGGCCGAGGTGGAGGAGGCGTGGGGCCCGCCGGAGGAGGAGCTGGCCCTCGCCGAGAGCATGTGGGACGCGGCCGTGTTCATTGGGTGCCCGCAGGTGGGCGCGCCCAGCTCCGCGGTCACCGCGGCCGCGCTCCTGCTCAACGCCGCGATGCAGGTAATCTTCTGCATCGATGGGCATGTTTTCCACCACCACCACCACCACAAGTTGGAGGGGGAGAGGGTCCTCCTCCTCCTCCTCCTCGTCGTCCTCCTCCTCGTCCTCCTCCTTCCCCCCTCCAACTCATCGTGGTGGTGGTGGTGGAACACAGGCCCATCATGCATCATCGTAAACGACAGCCTCACGCGGCCTCGCATCGACGAGTCGACCGTCAGCGACTTCAAGGACCGGCTCCTCGTCCCGCTCGTCGGGCTCCCCCGTGCGCAAGTCGCTCCGCTGTGGCCCAGCGCCTCTTCTGGCCGACCCGCGCGTCCGCCGAGTCCGAGACACCGTATTCTGAACAATTACAATCCCGCGACGTGCCCAACCCTTTCTTCCACACTTTTTTGATCTGCGGGGCGAAAGCGAACCTCTTCCGCTAAAAGCTAGGCGGGCTACGCACAGCTTTAGTTAGGGAGACAGGGCACAGGAAGGCGGGGCCTCAACCTTTCTTCCACACACGTGGTGACTAGTTATACCCAGGATCGCTCAATGCAAGCGTACACGTTGAAGGACCCGTAGTGCGCAGGAGCCTCGAGGTCTCGGCTCGACGTGTGTATTCCTCCACTCCGCTGGGCCTCCCATGAGCCCACGAAAGTGGCGACAATTGCACGGTTCGCTGCCCTCCAGGGAGCCGCGAGGTCTCGGCTGGATGTACGTACGCCCCCACTCCGCTGGGTCTCCCAGGAGCCCACGAGTGGCGACAGTGGCGCAGTTCGCCCGCGAACGTCAGGACAGTTGCGCAGTTCGCAGCCCCCCAGAGAGCTGCGAGGTCTCGGCTAGATTTGCGTACGCCCCCACTCCGCTAGGCCTCCCAAGAGCCCACGAAAGTGGCGACAGGTGCGCGGGTGGCAGTCCCCGAGGGGGCGAAGAGGAGGAGGAGGAGGAGGAGGAGGAGGAGGAGGAGGAGGAGGAGGATCCTCGAGGAGGAGGAGGAGGAGGAGGAGGAGGAGGAGGAGGACGAGGATGAGGATGAGGAGCAGGTGCGCGGGTGGCAGCCGCCGAGGGGGCGAAGAGGAGGAGGAGGAGGAGAAGGAGGAGGTCCTTGGAGACCACAGTGCTCTGTTCGTTCGAGACGAGAACCCAACACAGGAGGGTTGGGAAACAAATGACGGAGAGGACTGGCGCACAACTGTCGCGCACAACCTGAAGTACGTGGACGACCTCACGTTCCGGTCCCTGGCCAGGAAGGTGTGCAGCTTCGAGGACTCGAGAATGGAAACGTCGCATAAACATATTTAAATTTGTGGAGCTCCGCGCGGATTTCTTGGGTTGGCGCTGGACCTCCCTCGCGGCGTCTCTGGCGCCGCCACTGGCGCGCGCTGCGCGCCAGGGAGGGGAGGAGTCCAGCGCCGATCCGAGAAACCCGCGCGGAGCTCCGAATATTTGAATATTTGCCGTTCTGCTCTTCCTTGCTCCTCTGAGGACACCCCCATGGCCGCGGGCCCGATCCAGGGGCTGGAAGCGATCAGCGAGTACCAGCCGTCCCTGGGGGATCGGGAGCACCGCTCGGACCCCCCTCTCGGCTACTGGTGGCCGAGCAGGAGCGTGGGCGAGGTGATGTGCCTCCTGTCGCTCGTGCTCTGGTGGCTCACCGTCCTGAAGGATCAGCAGCGCCCGACGTATCCTGAGATCCTGGCGTCGCCTCTGTTTTCTCACCGGGCGTGTTCGCCCAGTTCCTCCGCCGTTGCGGCTCACCTCCCGCTTCGCCGCCCCAGCTGCCGCCGGCCGCTGCCCCCCCCTTCCCCCTATGGTCGGCTCCGCTGGGCGGCTCGACCCACACCGGCGTCCCAGGCCGCGATGCCGCGCGCACCAGCCTTGGGCGGACCGCCCCCTCCCGCGCACCGCTCCCGCCGTATACGGGCAGTGCGCACGCCGGGCCGCGCCGGCGCTGCAGCTCGTGCGCACACCAGCGGACTTGCCCCGGCCGCAGCCTCGCTGCCCCGCCAGGGGGGGCCACCGCCATTGCGGCTCGCCCCCATGCCCACGCCGCCACCCTGGACGGCCGGCTGGGCCTGTCCCTTCGCTCTGAGGGGCCCCGCTCGCGCGCCACTTGCACTGGGCGACGAGGGAGGAGGGAGGAGGGAGGAGTGGGCAGGAGGAGGAGGAGGAGGAGGAGGAGGAGGAGGAGGAGGAGGAGGACCAGGAGGAGGAGCTCCCTACTGCGATGCCGTGCACCGGCTGCGGAGTGGCGCTCCCGCTTCTCCCCCGCCCCCGCCTCCCCTCTGCGCCCCGCGGCGGCTGCCCGTCGGCCGCCCCCGCCTCGGGGGCCGCCGCGCCACCCTCCGCCTCGAGGGCCCCTCGCAGCTGCTGCAGCGCTGGCCGTCCTCTGGCCGCCGGCTCCGCGCCCCTGCCTGCCACCCCCTCTGCCGAAAAACTTCAAGTTTCGGTACTCCCTTGGCGCTCCAAAGTCTCTCTGGTGGTCAAGGCTAAGAAGTAGGTTGGAACGTCAGAACCTCTGGACTCTGGAGGCCCTCGCGGGGCCCCGTGACGAAAAACGGCGTATGGTGAAGAGCTGGGGCCTCCTGGTTTCCTTCAGCAGCTGTCGCCTTCGCTCCCCGTCTTGCCGGGCCGCGCCCACGCTGTGGCTGCTGGCCTCCCGCCCAGGGCGCATTGTTCAGCCGCTGTCGGCTTGGGCCCCTCAGCCGGGCCGCGCCCGCGCACCCGCCGCAAAACCCGCGGCGTGCGTGCGCCCCCGCGCCTCGCCCTCTCCCGCGGCCGCCGCCTCCCCGTTCCCTCCCCCCGTTTGCGTGCGGGCTAGCTCGCGACTCCGCGCCCCGGTGTCGCTCGGGCGCGCGCGCGGATTGCCTCTGCCGCGCTGCGGCGAGGAAGTTCGCCCCGTTTCTTGGCCGCCCCGGGCGGCCCGCTTCGGCCCCAGGTGCGTGCGCGCCTTTGCTCCTTCCCCTTCCCGCCTGCATCCGGACCATTCGCAATGCCGTCGCCCGGCTTGCGCGAGCGCGCGTGCGGACTGCCTCTGCCGCGCTGCGACGTAAAACGTGTTCGCCCAGTTTCGGGCCCCCAGGCCACCGCAGATCGACCAGGCTCGACAAATGCACAGAGAGGCGGGGTCTAGGGCTCGGGTCGTAATTGTTCGCGATGTTGAGTTTTTGTTCGTCACGTCGGATCTCAGGGTATCGCCATCAACCCAGGTGGGTAAGTCGGCCAGTGGGGCCAAGAGGCTTCGAGCTGCACACAAACAGCCTCCCCAGGTGGTCTTGGCTGGCCTCCACAGGCCCCCGCTGTCCCAGAGCAGTCCCAGTTGGCCTCAACAGGGCCCCCGAGCAGCCTGGGGCGATCTCCACAACTCAATCTTGGGTCGCGGAGCCAGGGTGTTGAGACCGCCCCACTGCACTCGGGGGGCCTGTTGAGGCCAGCTGGGCTACTCGGGGGGCCTGTTGAGGCAAGTCAGGTCTACCTCTACCTGGGGAGGCTGTCTGTGCGCAGACCGGAGCCTTACCACTGAAGGAGATCTTCTCCATGGTGAGCCTGAGCGAAGCTCTGCGCTCGGTGCCGACCGCGGTGCAAACGGAGATATCCAGCACCGCTGGCAGGCTCGCGCTGGTGTCGATGTCGAGGTGCCGGAAGGCCACGGTCGTTGGCGTCCTCCTCGTGCGGTCGTTCGTGTGCCTGGTCTTCGCCATCTGCGGCACTTGAAGAAAGGAACAATGGCATAAGCATAAACTTTCGGAGGTCCGCGCGGATTTCTCGGAGCTGCGCTGGGCCCCCCTGACGGCGCCTCTGGCGCCGCTCCTGGCGCGCTCCGCGCGCCAGGGAGGGAGTGCAGCGCCGATCGGAGAAATGCCCGCGCGGCTCCGAAAGTTTAAACCAATGCAGTTGTCTCTTCTTCCGCCGACTCCTTTTCGCCTTTTTGGGCCTCCTGAGAGGCCCTCGTCGCCACGGCTGGGTTCGCCTCGACATTCTGGTCAGAACTCTCCCCGGGAGAGGTCTGGGGAGTCGCGGTATTGGTACCTTTTGGTCTCCCGAGGTCCTCGCCATCTGCGGCACGCTGTACCTTGCCTCGACGATCTCGCTCGGCGACCTCCTGCTCAACGCCCTCGCCCTCGAGGTCGTGCTCTCGCTGGACGAGCTCACCTTCGAGGTCCTGGCACCCCGCTCCATTCGGCTCCTCATCTCCTCGATGGCGCCGCTGGCGAAGCCTGCCAGCCCCGCCTGGCGTGGCCTCGACGGCAGGCCCGTCGTGGCGAGCGCCGCCATCGCCGTCGGGCTCTCACTCGTGTACGGGCTCATTCTGCGGGAGCAGTCGCAAGTTCTCATGGACGCGCGAGAGGCGATCTGTGGCGGCAACCTGGACTTCATCGCCAGCGTCGACCAGAACGGCGCTCAGACGAGGAAGAGATACCGATGTCGATATCGTCCCCTCGCCGCCACGGGCCGCCACGGCTGGACGCGCCTCCAAGTTCTGTCCACAACGCACCCCTGGGAGAGGTCTGGGAGTGGCGGTATCGGTATTCCCCCCCAAGGCATGGTGGTCGCCTTCTCAGGAGGCTCCACGGGGGACCACACGGACTGGTATGAGCGCGGCGCTCGGAAGCGGTCCAGAGAGCTCCCGTGACATCCGCCGACGTGATGTTGTAAGTCCGCGGCCCCAGAGGTCCCGACCCCTTCCCGGGGGCGAGTTTCTCGCCCCAGACCCGTTTTTGGTGGCCCCGGGGCCCGACGAAGGGCCCCAGGGGCCGAAATCGAGGAAAGGCGCCCGCATTGCAAGGACCCCACCGTCGGAGGTGCGGGCTTTGCGATCGAGGGTCCAGCAGACGCTTGGATGGAGAGAGAACCACACCGTCGGAGATGCGGGCGTTTCGATCGAGGGTCCAGCAGGGCCGCCAGTCCGGCCGGTCGGTTCGTCCAGCTGGAGAGAGGCTCGGTGGCGGGGCCGATCGGCACTCCTCGATCTTTCGCGGCATCTTCGGGGGACCTCGCCTCGCCCCCACAATTGGCAGCTTCTCTTGTGCCCGACGCGGGCTCGATCCAGACTCGACGCGGATTCGGTGTAGATCCGCCGCGGATTCGACACGGGTTCGGACGCGGATCCGGCGAGGGCGACATGGATCCGACACGGGTTCGACGCGGATGGGGCCCCGACGGGGCAGACAAGGTCCTCCGAGGACGCAGCATAACTCGATCGAAGGCGAGGTGGGTGTGCTCCGCGCTGATGGCCAGGGCCGCGGCCGGCTGGGTCGGGGCCAGGGTGTGGCCCCCGGCGCGCTTGGATCGCAGGGCCCCGAGACCCCCAGATTGCAGCAGCACCGACCGTGCAAACGGTGGACCGACGACGTGGCTGCATTTGTACGCGATCCTTGCGCACAGGAGTGGGGATCCATTGTGACGGACATTCATCAATGATGCGAGGGTATGGAGGGTTCGTACGTGTTCCGCGCACGACGACGTGCAGCATCTGATTCTGGCGCCCCGGCGCCACCGCCTAGCCTGGCGTGGGGTCGCTTCCCTGCGACGCTACAGGCGCAGCCTCAGCCTCAGCCTCAGCCTGAGATCCCCCAGACATCAGGCGTCTCGAAAGCATCGAGACGGAAGTCTTGTACAAATAGTTTTCGGCCTCTTGGGGCCCTTACTGGGCCTCGGGACCGTCGAAAAACGGCTCGGGATGAAAAGCCGGTCCCAGGGAAGTGGTCAAGATGTTGGGGACACGCGTCTCGAACAAGTCGAGATGCCAGATGTCTGCGCCTGGCGTTACATTTGTTTCTCACCGGTTGGCTTCCTCCTCCCTCCGCCGTCGCTGGGCGCCTTCTCCCATACCCCTCTTGCGTGGTGGCCGAGTTCGCCTTCGAGCATCTTCCAACGCCTCACCGCCAGCGCAGCCACTCTGCCCAGCCGCCGACGAAACATTGGTTTCTCACCGCATGCTTTCGCCAGGAGCTCAGGCGCCGGGACCCTCACAGGTCGATCTGGCGAGACAGTCCCGCAGGAAGGCAGGGCCCAGGGCTCCAGTGTCGATGCAGTCAGCTCGGCGCAAGACAGGGCCGCAGAAGGAAGTGCCCGGCGCGAAACCTGCCGCGGAAGGTCGATGTTGAAACTTGTTATTATTTTCTTATTATTTCTCTTCTTCGTCATCTGTTGGTTTTCTTCTTATTGTTATTACATCTTATCATTATCAATACTATTACTGTTCGTCTTCTTCTTCGTCTTCTTCTTCTACGCAGCGCCGGATCTCAGCGGGTGAGGGCGCCAGGTCGGCGACGATGCGATGCTCTCCATCCTTGCGATGTCTTCCTCGACGTCGGCCTCCCCGGGCCCGCGGTCGGAGCCCGGGGCCCCCCAGAGAGGTGTGGCCTCTGGGGGGGAGCAGCGGGGTCGGGGCCTCCTCGGGGCCGCGCGCCTCGACAGCAGCACGCGCCGTCGGGTGTGTCTTTGTTGGGGGGTGGGAGGTCGAGGGGGTGCTTTGGCGAGGCGCGGGGCTGCGCACACGCAGCCCCCCCCCCCCCGCGGCAGCCCCGCCTTGCACTCGGCATCTCCCCCCCCCCCCGCCCCCCCCCCCCCCGCGGCAGCACCGCCTTGCCCTCGGCAGCTCTCTCCCCCCCCCCTCCACACATCGTCGGATGTTTTTTTTGGGGGGGGGTCGAGGGAGTGCTCTGGCGAGGCTCGGGGCTACGCACACGCGGAAGCCCCGCCTTGCCCTCAGCAGCTCCCCCCCCCCCCTCGAAGTTGCCTCCTGGGCGGACCCCCCGGGGGTGGTGCGCTGAGGCCCACACGGGCTACCATGGCGGGCATGCTGAGGCCAGGGGGGGCTGCTTCCGGGGGCTGTCTGCGCGCAGCCCCCCAGCCCGGGGCGCTTCCCTGGACGTGCGATGTTGTTGCTTGGCCGTTTGTTGAACTGCACGGCCCCTGGAAGTCCCGACACTTTCCCTGGGGCCGGTTTTTCATCCCGAGTCGTTTATTGACGGTCCTGGGGCTGGGCGAGGGCCCTGGGAGGCTGAAAATGGCAAAAATCCCCCCGTCGTGATTTCACTACGGCGCTGGCACGTCTGGGTCCGAGGTACCAAGCCTTCAGGAGCCTCATCCTGAACGCGAGCGAGTTGTACGCGGACGTGCACCAGGGCTCGTCATCCAAACTCGCGTACGCCTTCACTGGCAGCAGGTACTCGGGGGCGTCCTAACCCCAGAGGGTCTTTAGTGCTACGGCGGCGGCGACGGCTCCAGCGGAGGCCTGTGCGGTGGCCGCCGCGGGGGAACGGTTATTTTCCAAGTCTTGTTGGGGTCCCAATCCGTCAACAAGCCCGCGGGATAGAATTAGTTTCCAATTTATTGCCCAGGGGTTATCACAGATTCTCGGCCACAGGGCGGTGAGGACCAGGGAGGTGCGGACGCCATGGCCAGGCCATGATATCTCCCAGATGTCATGGCCCCCTCTTCTTCTTTCAACGATCGGGGAACAATTTTCCCGTCTGCGGCGAGGCGGGGCAATCCGCTCCAGCGCGGCAGCGATGCAGGGGCACTACAGAGCGAATTGGCCGGCATGCAGGAGGAGGGAGTAAGAAGGACAGGGCGGCCGCGAGAGGGGGGGGGGGGGGAGGGCGAGCGCTCAGAGGCGGAAGACTTCAGGATCCAGGAACAAGAAATTGCATGAACAGAAACTCTGAAAATTTCGGGCGAATTTCTCGGATCGGCGCTGGAGCCCTCCCGGCGGCGCCCCCGGCGCCGCCCTCGGCGCGCTCCGCGCGCCAGGGAGCGGGGTCCAGCGACGATCCGAGAAATCCGCGCGGGCCTCCGACAGTTTATGTCATCCCTCATCGGCGGCACGCCGACAGCTTTTGCTATCTCTTGTCGGCGGCGCGCCCTGAGGGGAAGTGAGAGGGGGCGGGCCTTCTCAGAAGGCGGCGCGGCTCCTCAGAAGACCGCTTCTGTCTTCGGAGAAAGCTTAGAGAACTTCTCGACAGGCCCGACCACTCTCCACTTTTCGCCCCCGGGCACGCTGCCGACTTCCCCCTCGTCTGCGCGCATGCCCCGGGGCCATGCTTGCGAGCCCCCCTCCTATGGGTGCCCCCCGCGCTTGCAGCAACCCCGAGGTTCTCGCTGGAGGGGATGGCACACCAGACTCTGGAGGAGCTGGGCGAGGTGTTCAACCCGGTCTGCTACGACTATTCGGCGGCGAGCCCAAGGGGGAATGCAGACCCGAGGCTCCGAAAAAATTGGAGCGGCCAGTTTGGGGCTATTTTCGGTTTCTGGGGGCCCTCCACGGGCCCCGGGACCGTCACAGAACAATTCAGAATGAAAAGCCGGACCCAGCGAAGTTGTCCAGACCTCGGGGGTCCACGCATCGAATAGAATTGGAGCGCCAGATGTCTGGGGAGGGGGCGGGCCTTATCCACAAGGCTCGGAAGGCCTCGGGCCTGCTGAGAAGTCTGCTAAGCCTTCTCCGAAGACAGAGTCGGCCTCTCAGAAGGCCAGAGGCTTCTGAGAAGCCCCGCCGCCTTCTGAGAAGGCTCGCCCCCTCTCGCTTCCCCCCGGGCGCGCCGCCGAACTATGATTACCCGGGCTCCACGTTCTGGCCCACCCTGAAGGACTCGAAGAAGATGAAAAAGAAAAAGGAGAAGAAGAAGAAGAAGAAGAAGACGTTGCATAAACATTCGGTGTGGGCGTTCGTTAGGGAATGTGCCCAGGAGGCTTGAGACCCTGGAGGATTCCTGATCCGATGGGGGCTGCGGTGATCTCCATGGCCACTTCACGATTGGAGTTCCACCCGCTTCCAGACCATGGGTTCCTAATTCGCTGTTCCTCTTTCTTTCTTCTTCTTCTTCTTCTTCCTCTGTTCGTTCGTTGTCGTTGTGTGTGTGCAAGGACGCTTGCTGTCGCAGACCAACAGAGAGATCAAACAAATCCCCCCCTGGCGGCGCCTCCAGCGCTGACCCAAGAAATCCGCGAAGACCTGCGAATGTTTGTGTTCATGCCGTTGATTGGGGTCATATGTCGAATCGCGCCCCTGCGAAACTCATCAGTTTCATTCCCACATCCTGAGTTGGTTCTGGTTTTCTCTGGACACCCCGTGCAGTTCTCACCTCAACCCCCCTCTCCTCATTTCCTTTCACACTCACACGCCGGTCGTTGAAAGTACAGGTATTTTTGATGGCGCAAGTCCCACTCTACTTTCAGCGCCTTCCGACTGCAAGAATCAAGTGGTATTCCTTCTGCCATCGTCCTCAGGGGGCGGGCGGAAGGCCAATCTACTTTCAGCGCCTTCCTACGTCATGTTTCTACCCACTTCTTTTGATTGACGGGTATCATCACCATCGTATCATCCTCACCACTGTCCCCACCTCATCACCGATACTCAGCATCATCGTCGTCATCATCCTCATCATCACCGTCGTCATCACCATCAGCATCACCATCTCCATGTGCCAAATCATCTGCAAAGCACTTGGTAAACCAGAGAGGTCGGGGTAGAGCTGAGCACATACGCCGAACCATAGGATCCAGAGATAGGGCGAAGGTGGAGCCTGGCATGGGGCACCCTTGCTCGATCCCCGGAAAGACCAGGAACCCCTCGTAGACACCACCACCGTATACTAGAGAGGTGTGCGTGTTCTTATTAAGAGCACGTATGCTTTCTATGATGTGCCAGGGCAGGCCCATGATTGTACTATGAGCACCCAGAAGATCCAGTAGTGGGCCAGGCTTGGGAACGCAGCCTTGAAGTCCACCATCGTGGTCACGCAGTCCCGACATCCCTCGACATCTCCCCAAAGAGTGAGCGACAAAGGCACCTCCAGAACGCGTGTCCGACCTTTGCCGAACTTTTTCGAAGTCAGTGTGAGACCAGTCTATAATATCACTTATCGTGCTCGTTGTGCGAGACTCGATCCGATAGCGTGCGAGATGGTCTTGTTAGACGTGTCGAAGAGAGAGAGAGAGAGAGAGAGAGAAAAAAAAAACAACAACAACAAAAAAAGAGGAGAGATATAGAGAGAGGGCGTGTCGAAGCACGGGTGCTCGCGATATCCACACACTCACTAGGTCGAATGTTCTGACCATGTCTCAGTAATTGAATTCATCAGGCAGCTCATCACCTCCCGAGACAGAGTCGTACACCTCATGCAGGAGCTTGCTAGCCCCATCTCCGCATTGGTCGCAAGAGAGGGGACGATCATTTTCTTCAACATCTCACGACGCGACGCTAGGCTTATCGTCCAGCGAACGTTTCTGGTAGCAGCTTGCATGAATGGCCAATACAGATCCCATTGCCCCTCCCTTACCATTTTCTCGCCATGCACCTTCCCCCAATACGACGCGAGAAACGTGGCTCCTGTGGTTTTGTCGGGTGCCTCTTGCAAGGATGGCCGGCGATCGCGATCTGCCCAAGCTGCGTGCATTCGCTGCAGCTTGCATGTCTGCTGACAGTCAAAGGTGGTGTCAAGCTCCCCGTTGGCGTCCAACTCCTGTTCCTGAGCCTGCAGGTGCGCCAGAGTAGCCTGCAAAGGCTTGTCTAAACCTGTCTAAACCAGATCAGCAGAGCCCAATGCTTTGAACTATCGGGAAATCCGCCCTGGCTACCATCGCTTTTCAAAGTGCTCATCAGTTGTGGGCAAGCCAGTGGTCGGTGGACCAACAGTAACAAGGTGAACTCCATTTTCCAACACAAGATGAGCAGCGAGCCGATCTTTGCACGAATGCATGCTGATATAATGAACGCCTCCACGCTCGTTTTCGTGGATGCCACGGCACGTACTCCGGGATAATAACTGATGCAGATGACTATCATGTTTCGTGGAGACTGTCTCTTGAGAACTGTAAGCTGCGGGTGACTTTCTGCAGGAACCTAGCTGTCGGCTTTTCACACAGACGCTGCTGAACCACAGAGCATTGGCTATGAGTGTGTTGACCTCTGTCGCCCAGTTGTTCTTGCCGACGCCGCTGGTCATCCGTTCTGGGGGAGGAAGGCTGTAAGCTATGATAGGACGGCCTCGGCACGCGTATCCTTCCGATCTTTCCTTTCGGCTGAGGGAGTTTGGCTTCCCAGTGTAACCAGTGGACATCGTGAAGTACGCATCCGCCGCTCAACACAGGTTGGACTACAGGTCTGGCATTTTCCGAAGGATGGCTAAGGAGTATCACGATATGCTCTGAGGATCGGAGTGGCTTTGCAAACATGAATTACGACAGCGATTTCGACACATCGTGTTTAATGAGTTGCATGATAACTGGAGACGTCGCAATTATGTGCCTCGTCTTCCCCATGACCTACGGGGGAAAGACTGTCAAGGCTTAGTTCTTCAACAATTACGCTCACCTGACTATGCGGCATATAACTGCTTGCGCCATCGACTGTTTTACTGCGCTTCTGATCTGAATGTGGCTAGTGCCTGCTCTACGATCATATGCACTCGTTTCCACCTCCTTTCCTCGTCGGTAAACTGTTTGGTTTCGGCCACTATTATGAAAAACTGTCTGCAATGGATGGGCCACAATTGTTCGGTATCGTCAACCGCTTGGACGCTGGCCGGTTCGGCTGTCAAGCCGCCGCACGTGGTGCCATCCCTCGCGGTTTTGACCGCCCGCATGCAAACAATTATCTCTCGCATGTTCTTCCTTAGCCGCTTGTGGCATTCTTCTACGGTGACCTTAGGAAACATTTCTTGTCACGCACGTTCGACTTGTGATCTGCTGAGGAGCTCTTGTCTATAGCGGCCAGCACCGAGCTTCTGCATCGTGCATTTTCATCGCATGCGCGCGCGTGGATCGCACTCCCCTAATCTCTCCCAGCGCCCCTTGCACGCCCGTGCCCCTCAGTTGCTGCGCCGCCGCCGCGCCCTCGCTCGAATCATCTCGAACATCTCGCTGCTGCCTGTGCGCCGTCGCTGCCTTGCCGATCGCATCCCCTCATCGCATGCGAGCCCGAGCGCTTCTGGGGGCTACTTGTGACAAGGCGCTCCCAGGGGTTACTTGTGACTGAGCGCTCCCAAGGGATACTCGTGACCGGGCGCTCCTCGTGGCCCTCTCTTGGCGCGCGACCTCGAGCGCCCGCGGGGGTCTGATCAGCATCGTCGGCATCAGCATCAGCATCAGCATCAGCATCACCATTAGCGCGGCGGAGGCTGGACGCCTCAACGAGACCTCGGCCTGCCTCGAGCGCTACCCCGCCCTCCGGGAGTTGGCGGGCAACCCGTGCACCATCGACGTGGACATGACGCAGCAGCTTCGTGGGGCACGGCCCCACGCAGTGCAACTTGCCCAGGGGCATGCTATCGATGAGTCGGGGCGGCCCCGCGCCGACCTCACGAGTTTGGATGACACTCGTTCGGCCCAGGCCCGTCAACGCAACGCTCATTTGATTTCTCACCTGGCCCCTGGTCGCGCCGGCGGCACCTCGGCCGCGGAGCTGCCCAGCGGAGAAGTGGAGACGCATCCGGGCTCGAAGGCCAGCGCCCTGCGTTCACACTGGTCGACTGTCGTCAAGGCCGAGGGCGTCGACCATGACCTCCTCCGCCCGCGGGCGGCTGAAGACGGGGGCGCGCGCCCGCTGTCGGAGTCCAGATTCAAGCTTCGTCGTTCACATTTTCGAGAGGCCATAGAGCAGCCCGACAACTCTTCGCCTGGCCCCGGCGGAATCCCGCTCCAGACCTGGCGCGTTACCATGCGGCTGTCTGTCACGATCCTGTTCGACGTCTTCCAGGCTTTCTCGGGGGGCGATGGAGCCGACCTCATGCAGCGGCACGCCGGCGACTTCAACGCGAGTTTGTTGTTCTTCCTGCTCAAAAAAGGCGTCGAGGGTGGGACCCGCAGGGGGCGGTTGCCACGCGCCCGCCAACGCCCGCCCCCTCAATGTCACCAATGCCGACAACAGAATGTTGGCCAGCGCGGTCCGCGTCCTCATCGAGCCGACGATCGGCCCCAGAGTGTCCAGCATTCAGCGGGGCTGCATTGGGGGTTCCACGTTGTCCAGTTAAGTGGATATCGAGGGGGCTTCGGTTCAGCCGCCTGCACCTCAGACGAAGGGGGCGCCATGTACTTCGACTTCGCGGCCGCTTTCCCTTCGATCGCGCGCGACTTCCTCACGGCCGTCTTCGAGTCGCTCAATTTGCCATTGTGGCTCTGGAGCTTCATTGCCGCACTCTACGAGGTGAATTTCTGCGACGTCAGGCTGGACG